CGGATTTGTAGTTAGAGATCTGAGATGAATAAAATAATATTAGCAAAAGATTCTTATTCACCAATGTTTGCAAAAAAACCCGAGTTCTTTCAGTTTCTTCCAAATTAATAAAAATATTCATCATCATCTAAATAATAGAGATGAATTTATAAATATTTCCTAATTCGGTATGGTAGCGTAACTTCAGAATCTCATGTATGCTAAGTAAAATGACGTGTATCTTACCTTTTTTCTGGTGTTTCGAGGATAATATTAGTAGTTGTCATGATCACGTAATTAAAATTCTATTCTGTATTATTGTACAGAATAGATTAGATTTTATTAGATTACATAACCATTAAGATTTCCGGTTTTCTTATTATGAGCTAGTTTAAAATCTATACATTGATTTTTTGCTTGTTCGTATGTTCATTTCTTGTTAACACAAAACCATTTTCTCTTTTGTTTATTATTTTCATTATATTTAAAAATCCAACTTTTTCTCGTTTTACAATAATAAATTCCATTATATCCAGAAGAATTATTTTTTTATAACTTGTGATTTAATTGATTTTCTCTCGGTGTAGTTTCTCTCAAATTATATTTGCGATTATCAAGCCCATTACGGTTGATATGATCTGTAATTTTCTAATTTGGATTAGCCATTTTATGAAACGTTTTAGTTGTGTTTTTTATATTTGTAACAATATAATAAGTATTTTCCTGTTTATGAGAATACCATGTGTAATTTTGAATCAAATTAAAATTATCTAGATCGGTTAAAAATGTCAAATCTGAATTTGATGCTTTGATCTTAAGAAATAATATCGCATCGATCTCTACGATACGATAATAATTAGATTTTACTCTTGGCTTTATAATAAGAATCTTGTTCCAACCAGATAAAACCTCAAAATTTTTAAAATTTTTTTGCTAGTTAGAAGACATTTACACAAATAAAAATCTGTTCAGTATGTTAACATACAGAATAAATTTATTAAAAAAAAAATAAAAATATATTAATAAAATAATTGAATTAAAATGAATAAAAAAAATTATGTATCAGAAGAAGAACTGTCGATTGGAGATGTGTTGTTGATTCCATTTAAAACAACAGGTTCAGGTAATTTTACTTTATCAGAAATTTCTTTAGAAGAAGGTAGTTTACGTTTTTTTCGATTGATGTTTCTAAATTTTTTGTTTATAATTTCGATTATAGATGGAAGAAAGAGAAATAGAGTATCGGTTAATTTATATTTAGAAAGATCCTTCGGATCTACAAAAATCCAATCATCATGCTTATCAGGTTCAGTTCGAATTGGAATCTGTTCATCAATATATATATAATATACGGTGCATCGACATAGACATTCTTTTCCATCCGGAAAAACTCTAAACCTTTCATTTGTTCCAATATAAAACAATTCTTGAATTGTTATTCCGGTTTCTTCCTTCATTTCACATATTGCACATTCATCATATATTTTATCTCTTTCTTTTTTTCCAGTTGGTACGTTATAATAATCAAAATAATCTTTATTAGGATTAATTCTTTTGCTAATAGGAATTTGCTTTTTTGAAGTTATTGGGACAATCAAAGAAAATTCTCAGCTATCGATTTCGTAAGATGTAATCATTTCTTTATATTTTTTTTTCAAATTTGATTGAATAACAAGTTGAGTTTCGATTACATTTTTTGTTTCTTTAACGGGAATGCCATATTTTTTCACTAAGATAAGATGAGATAAAGTCACAAGATATTTTTCTTCAAGATCGCAAGTGAGCAAATAATTGCTAAGAAGTAATCTGTATTCTGATTCCATTTTTTACAAAAAAAAAGATGAACAGAAAATTTTCTGTTCGGTATATTTATACTGAACAGAATAAAAATAATGATATACAAAAAAAAAAATAAAAATAATTAAAATATTTAAATAATAAATTCATTGTCACTATCGTCTATTTGCAATTCGTTGTCAGACCAAAAGATATTTTCGTTTTCTACTATTCCAGATTGAGATATAATATATTTTGCAGAATATTTTTTAATCATATTATCAAAAATTCCTTTGTTTTTAAGAGATTTTTGAGATTCTTCAGTTATTATTGTTATTGAAGATAATGTTGCGGATTCGTTAGATTCAGAATCAAAATCATCATCGATAGATTTTTTATAATGTTTGCAAAAATTTATCTTTTGAAAATGATTACAGTATGAACAATAATATAGAACAGATACAAAAGATGATCTGATATATAGACGTGTATCGGAGTAATTTATCCGATTTTTGATATATAAACTTTTACGAATTAAGATGGGTTTATTTTTTATTGAGATTTGTGTTGTGAAGAAATTATATTGATGTTGTGAATGTTTTATATGATAAAGATTGTTTCGAATTTGCTTCATTTTGTTTTTATATAATTAAATTTCTGATCGGTACAGATGTACTAATCAGAATATTTATTAATAATAAAAATATGAAAAATAATTGATGAATTTAAAAGAAGATAAGATGAATAATTTAATAATAAAATATGAAAAATAATTGACGAATTTAAAAGAAGATAAGATAAATGATTTAATTTAATTTGTTTTCTTTTTTTTGTTGACACTATTCAATTTTTTCTCGTAGTGCTCTAACTTATCGAGAGCGATTTTTGCTCCAGATTTAGGACCATGCAGTGTGGTAGTTCACCATTCTTGGATTTCGTTGAATGACTCATGATCTTTTTCTTTAGGAAGAATTCTTTCGATATGAGAAAAAATAATTTTTCTCGCTCCATAATAATTCTTTAAATCTTCTATAAATCTAATACGATCCGAAAGAAAAGGAAACGCTTCAACATACGCATCTTCATCAACCTCGGTATTGAGTTGCCAGTTTGATAATTCAAGATAATAATTGTAATATTTTTTAATCGTTATTATCGCAGTGGAGAGATCTTCGGATTGATCGAATGTTTGTTTGACTGAAGTAGAAGTAAATATATTTTAAAAGATTGTTACGTAGTTAAATTTCTGATTGGTGCAAAAGCACTAATCAGAGTATTGGTTTAATAAAAATGAT